TATACCACAATTATTTACGCTAAGTGGAACAAACAAATGAAAGTGTGAACATACTCGACGGTGTCGAAGTCGTCGACAATAACCGCTGCCGGCTTATACACGATTATTGGTCCAAATTAATGAGTAAACAACATATTTATCAATCCGACAATGACAGATAAAATAACAATACATTTTTATACTTGCAAGAGCTACAAACTTGTGTATATATACACACATAGGCGCCCATTTTTTTCAGGTTTAAAACCTATTACCGGCTTACGTACACAAGTTACTTCACAAACACGCAAATGTTACAAAACATGTGTATGCAAACACATTGACAACCCCATAATCACAGGTAAGCTATTTTAATCCAGGACTTAACATACAAGTACAACCAGGGTTTGTATATAAAAACATACTTAACAGTGCCGTAGTCGTTGGCTGTGCTTGCCGCCGGTCTTTTGCTCCCAGGGAAGCGGCCACGGGGAAGGCGTCTTGGTGCCGCCGGTGGAGCTCTGTTCGAAAGAACAATATTACTGTAGTTTGAGTATCATGCAGGTGCATTCTTAGCACATAATAGGAGTATTGTAGGTGCAGGGGATAGATAGTGTATAGTATGAGTTTTGACAGTGTGAGTATACGGCAAATGAGTAGGTAGTATATAGTAAGAGTACGAACAGTGCGAGGACAAGACAAAAGGACGGGTCGTATATAATAGAAGTATTGACAGAGTGATTTTATGGCAAATGGAAAGGGGGTAAGGAAAAAAATACTGGCGGTGTAAGCAAGGGGCAAATAGAAGGTTTACAAGGTGAGTATGTGTAAACAAATAGTGAATACGCAGTATCTGTAATGGACAAAGCAAGACCACAGACACAAATACACTAAAAAACCCACACACCCACACATACACATCCCTACATACAAAGATACATACACACGCACGTGCATAATAAGAACCATATACATACACATATGCGTGTACATACGCCTTCTTCGACGAGGCAGCGGGAGAGGCCCCGGCAAATCTTCCTACACTGCTCAGCGGTGGTGCGTTGGGGTACAGTGCAGCATTGGCACTCACTGCCAGCTTGGCACTGGTAGCTAAACGGTCCAATGCGGCTATGGCATGGTTGCCCACCTCTATTTTCTTGGCCAAATCTTCATCAACTGTGTCTCCTGAGAAGAAAACATGGAGATATGTACATGTTGGGATGGATACTTTTGTAGATTGGATCGGGTTGTACGGTAGAAAAAGATACCTACAATTGCTAGAATATGTAAATTGTATGGATGGCTGAATTGGGCTTGATTAGTCGATCAGATGCGATAAAGCGATAACAGTGTAATATTAAGGCGTAGCGGCAGAGATATACTGGTGCAGAAGCATAGTAGAGCAATAGCAGCAATTGGCGTAGGACGGAGATGGCAAGCACGGGTGCCACAGTCTGAGTACGACAACAGACTAAACACATGCGAACCTCAAGTATACATCGCAATACACACATTCATCGCTATGCAGGGCTGCGCTACTGATGAGAAGCAGTTCTATGACTCTCACGGAACGACGGCTCCGATAGTCATTCCCCATAAGCATCGCAACAGAACGATACAAAAATAGAAATTCGATAGGGTTAAATGAAAGTAAAAAATATAAAAATTATATTGGTAAACAAATAAAAATACCTGGCACGGGGGGTCTGTGGGCTATAGACGACGAAAACCGCACATTCTTCTTTGCCTGCTGTAAAGTAGGGCTTCCGGGTGTGTGAACGGAATTGGTCGCAGCGGCTGGCAAATGCACACGCGACGCATCCGTCGCTATAGTCGGCACCTGGATGACACCCTTGCTTTCGGAATCTATTTGTTAACAGGTATGTAAGCGACTAATCGTTAGGTTTATGTATGCATGCTTTGGTTGATGTGTATGATATTTGAAATCGGAAGGTTTAAGGTTAGTACGCTTGAAGGTATACAACCATAATCAGGTTGGTGTACAGATGCTGTGTTTTGGTGCATAATCAAAATTTTCAATCAATGAGAGGACAAGATCCACAGGTCCGCAATGCCTACTCGTAGTGCAGAAACACAAGTGAATGTGCGAAGATTAACAATTGACCCCAACTGAGGATATCCATATAACTGATGCTCTCCTGATATTTTTTCTATTCTGATTACTACACGCAAAGTTTATAATTTCATTTGAATTGTGAAATCAACGATACAATACGAATTCCCCCACCTATCGCAATACATACGAGTGCAAAAAGTTAGCGAGTGCCAACTGTACGTGCATCAGAAGCGAGACAGTAGTAGAATATACATATTTATATTATATATATATATATATATGTGTGTGTGTGTGTGTGTGTGTGTGTGTTGTGTGTGTGTGTGTGTGTGTGTGTGTGTGTGT